GGGCTCAGGCCCTGAGTGTCTGCCTCTCGCCTGCCCACCGTCCTGTCCGGGGGCCTCGCTCAGGCCCCCCCCGCCCCCCCCCCCCGTGAAGCCTGAGGGGGCAGGGGAGGCCTGAGGGGGCAGTGGAGGCCTGGGGGGGCAGTGGAGGCCTGGGGGGGCAGTGGAGGCCTGAGGGGGCAGTGGAGGCCTGAGGGGGCAGTGGCCAAGCACAGCCTTTGTTCCCAGACCAGCCTGCTGGCCAACTGCCAGGCGCCCCGCAGGCCCTGGCTGGCCTCGCACATGAGCACCGTCTTCATCTCGCTGCTCTGCTTCCCCTCCTTCCTGGGTGCGGCCATCTTCCTCTGCTACGCCGTCTGGCAGTGAGTGGGCACGGCCATGGGGGCCACCGGGTTCGGGAGGTGCTGCTGGGGGCCCGGCTGGGGCCGCGGGAGGCAGCCCGGCCCGGCCAGGCTCCTTCCCCCTGTGGAAGGCGGCCCGGCAGGGTCTCCTCTAACGAAGCCGGTGTCCTGGCTCTCCCGCCCCCTCCCCTCCTCTCTTCCCTCCCCTGCCCCTTTCTTCCTCTCCCCCGTCTGCATTTCCCTCCCTGTCCCTCCCCCTTTCTCCCTCTCTCCATTCCTCCCTCTCTCCATTCCTCCCTCTCCCTCCCCTCTCCCTCCCCCTTTCTCCCTCTCACTGCCCCTTCCCTCTCTCCATTCCTCCCTCTCCCTGCCCTCTCCCCCCCCTTTCTCCCTCTCACTGCCCCTTCCCTCTCTCCATTTCTCCCTCTCCCTCCCATCTCCCGCAGGGTGAAGCCCTCCAGCCTGTGCGGGCCCTTCCGGGGCCTGGACAGCATGTACGAGGCGGGCAAGGTGTGGGTGCGCCGCCTGGAGCGGGCCGGGCCCCGGGTCTCCTGGCTGCCCTGGGTGCACCGCTACCTGGTGGAGAACACCTTCCCCGTCTACCTGCTGTCAGCGCTGCTGCTGTGAGTGCCGGCCCCGCCCTCAGGCCCCGCCCCTCCGCCGACCACGCCCACGCTTCCCCTGGCCCCGCCCCTCCCAGCCCCAGCCCTCCTCACGGTCCCTCCCGCCCCGCCCTCCTCACGGCCCCGCCCCTCATACCGGCCCCGCCCTCCTTCCACCTCTCCGGGCTCCTGGGGGCCGGCCTGATGCCTGGCGCCCCCGCCCCGCCCCCAGGGCCATCATCTACCTCAACATCCAGGTGGTGAAGGGCCAGCGGGAGGTCATCAGCCTCCTTAAGGAGCAGATCAGCAACGTGAGTGCCCGCCTGGCCCCCTGGTGGTGGGTGCTTCTGGGCCTGGGCCAGGTGGGCGAGCTGAGGGTGGGGGTGCAGAGCAGCCACGAAGCAGCCCAGCTCCGCCCCACTTCCCTGGGGGCTGCGACCCTGGGCCAGGCCAGGCCCTGCTGCTGGCTGCCTGCCGGGGCTGAGCCCCTCGCCCCCTCCCCCCTCCCCGGCTGGGGGCTGCAGGTCTGAGCTCAGCCTGTGCCCAGGGCCTCCCCTGGGGCCTCCTGCCCGCCTTCTGCTCCCCAGAGCGGAGGAATGATGCTTCGTGTGGTTTAAGCCACTGGTTTGTGGTGATTGGTTAGAGCAGTGGTCAGCAAACTGCGGCTCCCAAGCCACATGTGGCCCTTTGGCCCCTTGCGCGCGGCTCGGGCCTTAGAACCGTTTCTTCAAAATAGACTCGCCCAGGCCGAAAACCGGCTTCTGCCCAGGGGCCACACAGTTTCAGTCGCACGGTACATGCGCGCCAGCACGTGGTATTTTGTGGAAGAGCCACATTCAGGGGCCAAAGAGCCACATGTGGCTCGAGGTTTGCCAGCCACTGGGTTAGAGCAACGATGGGAGCAAACATAAGCCCCATGACACAGGCAGTCTGACCCCGGTGACACGGTCACCGAGGCTGGCCTGGGGCCCTTTCCCTTTTCCCCTTGGCCGCTGGGAAGCTCAGGCCTGTGAACACGCCCACTGCCCGGCTCTGGGTTTGGCTCTGGGTCTGTTGTCCTTGTCGTGGTCCCTCTTTCCCCTTCTCCACACTTTGCTCACCTGTGAGCTTCCCCAGGGCGGTCTGGACAGACGGACGTGTCTGTTCTCTTGCCTTCGTGTTCTAGGAGGGGGAAGACAAAATCTTCCTAATCAACAAGCTTCACTCGGTCTGCGAGAGGAAGGAGAGGAGCGGGTGAGGGCTTTGGGGGGAGGACGGGGCTGTGAGTGGAGGGGGGTGGGAGGAGAAGGCTGCTGCTCCCTGGGCCCCCCCCCCCCCCCCCCGCGGGCATTGGGGCAGAGCCGGGCGGTTACACTGGTGGGAAGGGAAGTGCTGCCTGCGGGGTGGGTGGAGCGGCCTCATGCCCTTTCCCTCCTTCCTCCCCGCCACGCCCTCTGTAAGCTGGGGGCAGCCTCGCTGGCCAATCTCCTTTCCCTGCCCCTTCTCCCCTGGGCCAGCCCCCCTCGCCCTTCCTCACAGTTACTTGTGGTTGAGCCCAGGGAAGGGAGCTGAGTTCAGACAGACAGGCAGACAGAGGACGCCTAGGCCGGGGCAGGCTAGCCCTCAGGGCGGAGGTCCCTGGCTCCTCCCGCCTCCTCCAGCCCTTCCTGTCTCCGGAGCCTCTGGACTCTGGGCAGCCTGGCCGCTGGGTGCTGCCTCCGTGGGTGCAGAGTGCAGAGCCCCTGGCTAACCGTGCCTCCCCCTCCCCCCCAGGGCTGGCAGGACCCAGGAGGTAGCGGTGCCCCCGGCCGGGCCTGCAGACCACCGGGAAGCCTAGCAGGACCAGGACGGGCCTGGCAGCACTGCATGCTCACCCCCGGCTCAGTTCCCACGGCGCTGTGGAACGGGAGGGAGCTGGAGCGGCACCCCCCATGGACCTGGCTGCGTGGGACTCTATTTATTCTCATTATATATGGTTGGCGCCAAGACCGGTGTGGCTCAGTGGATAGAGCGTCGGCCTGTGGACTGAAGGGTCCCAGGTTTGGTTCCGGTCAAGGGCATGTACCTTGGTTGCGGGCACATCCCCAGTGGGGGGTGTGCAGGAGGCAGCTAATTGATGTTTCTCATCGATGTTTCTCACTCTCTCTCCCTCTCCCTTCCTCTCTGTAAAAAACCAATAAAATATTTTTAAAAAATATATGGTTGGTAAAGCTGAAGCCCCACTGCCCAGGTGTGTGGGGCCTCCTGCCCCCGCTGCCCCGGGGAGGACTGCAGGCCTGCATGTGCCCCTCAGCTCTCCTCCTGGTCGCCGAGGCTCCTCTCCTTGCCACTCAGGGTCCTCACTGCCTCGCCAGGTGCCCGGGGGCTGCATGGCCGTCCCCAGGTGCCCGGGCGTTTCAATACTGACAACCTGGGCTCCAGCGATCAGCGCGGGCGCCCTCTGGTGGCCAAGCTCCAGGCGGCAGGCCAGATGCGGCCCAGCTTGAGGGATACTGGGATCAGCCTGAGCCAGGGGTGCACCAGGCGGGCAGGGGAGGCGAGCCAGGGTGACACGGCTAGCAGCTGGGTGCCTTCGTGGTGAAGGAGTGGGGGCAGGTTTAGGGAGGGGCTGGGATGACATTGGGTACAGGAACCAGCCAGGCCCAGGGGCAGCTGGAGCCAAGGCCCGAGGCAGGAGGGAGTGATGGGTCCTGCCAGGCCGTTGGCAGAGCCTGTGGGACTGCAGGAGCTGGCCAGGCCCTGGGAGGGGAACTGGGCGGATGGCACTGGGGCCCACTGTCCCACATCTCAGGGACCTGAAGAGCGATGCTCGGGCCTGGGAGAGGGGGGCCAGTCGGACGGACGGTGACGGCACCCCACATCAGCAGGGCCAGCTGGCCCCTCCCCAGCGTGTCCCCAGGGAGCTCCGTGCTTGCAGATGTCCAGGGGACAGAGGCCTACCCAGCGTCACCCCAGACGCCTTCCTGGCTGTGGCAGGTGGACACTGACCACTGCCGGCCTCACCACCGGAGACTGAGTGAGCCGGGCCCACCTGCCTCACATCCACTCTGAGGGGGGCGAGCAGCGTGAGGCGGGGAGGCTCCGGGCATCCAGAGCCCGGGGCCGCTGTGCCCGGGCGGGTCTGGGGCCGTGTGACAGTGTGGCGCCTGCTCCGTCTAGGGGACGGTCCCTCCGGAGCCATCGGGCCGCTGCCGAGCAGCCTGCCGGCCTCCGTGGTGGAGGCCAGAACGGGCCGCTCTGAACCCGTCCTCGTGGTCCCAGGAAGCAGGCGTTCTTGTCACTGTGGCTGCCAGGCCCTCCGGGCACAGTGTGGGCACTTTGGACCTCAGCCTTCTCCGTGTCCCCCACCCGCCCCTCGCTCCGCCGGCTCGCGGTGAATGCCTCCTCCGGGAAGCCCGCCGTGTGCACTGGTTCCTGAGGCCCCGGCTTCTCCCAGAGCCGGGCATGGCTGCTGGCTCCGCGGGAACCACACACGCTCTCGGCAGGGCAGGCTGGTGGCACTGGCGTGGCTGCCCAGGCTCATCCCGGGGAGAAGGTCAAGTGCATGGTCTGGCATTCCTCTTCCTCTGGCCTTTCCTCCTGATGTGGCCCCCTTGGTGCTTCCTCCTCCGCTTCCTCAAGCCAGGAGCTCACCGCCTTCCCTGAGGGGCCACGGGCTGTGCTCCTGACAAAAGGAGGACTGGCCCCGACGGGTGCTCCGCCCTCGGGCCTGAGGGCCACCGGTTGTGGCCGCAGCTTCGGGCCGCCAGGCGCTGAGAATAGGATGTGCAAGAAGGAAGCAACCGTCCGGGAACACAGGCGGCCATTTCTCCCCATTCCTGATCCCGATCGGGTCCCAGGTGACGGCCGACTCCAGGCCAGCCTGCTGCCCGGGCTGCTGCTCAGGGCAGCCCCAGGGCGTCACCTGGATGGCGGGTGGGCGACGGGCATGGGTCCTGCAGGAGGCTCAGCGCCGCCGTTGGAACCACAGGGCTCAGGACCGTGCCCACGACCAGCGTGCCCGCTGTGGGCCATCTCCCGGTACAATCGGAGTGAACCCAGCGACACTGTCTTAGAAAGGAAACACACACTGATCTCAACAGCCAAGAAAAAACTGCAGTTTATTAAGATTCAACAAAGCTTGTACTTTTGAAAGCAACTTTCGGTGCGTATTCTTCAACAATCACATTCTATGAGGAAAAACATGAAAAGCCACAAACTTGTTTCTTAACCTCAGTTACAGACATCTTCAAAATGAAAGGGCAAAACAACACCCCCCCAACGGAACAGACAGAGACTCTACTTCCGTCCGCGCTGCTCACACCTCGGCCGCGGACGTGACACACGGATGCGGGGACACACGCACGGAGGAGGTGCGGGGCGGCGGCCGCCAGGAAGCTGCTCCGCGAACCCGGACCGGCAGGCTGGCCCAGTCTGTGCGTAGTTCTGACCCGCCAGAACCGGCTCCGTGGCCCTCGCTCCACAGGGCCTGCGGCTGCTGCTGCTGCCTTTTTTTTTTTCTTCTTTTTTTGTTGTTTTGATAAAACCATTAAAAAGCGAATTAAAAAAATGTAATGCACGTTTCCTGACCGAGCAGGCAGGGAGCACAATGTTCGTATGTTTTGAACATACTGAGGGCATGTTACTCCATTGTCTTTCTTTCTTGCAAAACAATGAGAACATTGATCATTTTTAAACATAAAGCGATTTAATATATAAAGCACTCTTCAAACACCTATGTCTTCGGAGTCCATTATTTGGTAAATATGTAACTGCTACACATTAGAGATTAAGTATTTTTCTTCTTTGAGTTTTTTTCCTTTTTTCTTTTTTTCGTATTTTTCTGTTTTTATGACATCTTCAGTGCTAGGAGTTGGGTTACAAAACACATGGAACGCTGTGGAGCTGCCCCTCGGAACCCTGGCTTCCTGAGAGCGCTTCCACACGTGCAAGACAGTGGCCGCAGCGCCCGGCCGGGACGCGCAGAGTCCGCAGCGATGCGGTGCGGAGGGGACACTGCCGATCCCAGAGCTCTGAAGCAGCGCGTCCGCATCGGAAAATAGGCGTCTGACGACGGAAGTCTTTTTTCTTATATTCCTTTTTAAAAACATTTTTACGTTAAAGTCTGAAGGAGAAAAAGGTCTGTAAACAGGCGGGAGCCCTGCGTGGGCCCCTCCGAAGCAGTCGCCACTGTCCAAGTGCTGTCTCCGCTCCTGCAGGAGCCCCACGAGGACCGTGGCCGCAGTCCCCACGTTCTCTCGGCAACGCTCTTCCCAATGGAAATGGTGCAATACTCTGGTGATAACTCTCTCGCATTATTCGTCCACAACAAGCTGCTGCTAAAGGTAGGTATACATATTATTTCTCCAGAGATACACACGGTAACTTCAAACGCGGTAACAGTCCTTGAGTAAACAATTACACGTGAACTGTCGCCGGCCCTGTCCCACGAGTTCTCTTTAATGTGTAGGATGAGCTGAGGACGGGCGGGGACACTCAGTGCAAAGTTAGAAGCTAATAACAACGAACGTTTGACCAACGCGCCAACAAAAAGCATATACTGAATAAAAGGGAGACCCACAGTGAAGTCCCTCGCACGGCGGCGGGCACAGGGCGTGCACTCCCCGTGCGCGCGATGCTGGTTCCGCCGCGCCGGCTGTGCCGTGCCGGCGGCTCCGGAGCTGTGCCCGCTGCCGGCCTGGCTGTGGGTCGGACTGAGAGTGTTCACGTTGCGTATTGGCTGCTGGATTCAAGTATTTGCATGTTTGATATGTCTTTTTTTTTTTTTTTTTTCAACTTTTAAAAAATAGTTTTTGGGATAAAAAAAATGACATGAAAAAGTAATGAAACAAGGGTAATGTGCATAGGCGGATCCATGCGGACAGAGGACTTCGCAGACCGGCCTCCCGCCAGCTCGCCGTGGCCGCCGGAGGCCGCTCGCCCGTGAACGCCAGTCCCCTGATTACGGGGTCCGCCTCTGGTAATGTGCATAATCGTCACAGGCTCTTAAATAGGCTTTCTCGTCTCCCCCCTCCCGCCCCCCTCGATAAAATAACCCTTTCCAGCCCACAATCTGAAAAGTGCCCTTCATGATAGAACTATTCTAAGCAGCTTTTATACTTAAAAAATCAAAATGACAACACACCGTACAAACAAAGACGACACGAAATAAAAGCTATGAGAACATCCTGTCGTTGGCGTGTGACGCTGGCGGCCCGCACTGTCCCGGGAACAGTTCGCAAGGGCTGCAGGTGCGTCTTCAGCACGGACAGAGGTACGTGGAAGGGCGCGGGCTGCAGGCCCGCTCTCCTGGTCTGATGCGGTGCCCGGCTCTCGGCCTAGATGGACTCCCCGCTCAGGAGGTCGCCGGGGAGCAGCGTGTTCAGCGGGGTGGGGCTCCCGATCACCCTGCCGTCGTCACCGCCGGGCGGGCCCCACAGGCTGCTGGAGTACTGGGGAACCCCGCCCCACAGCAGGTCGCTGCTGCCCTTGCTGGCCAGGCACGGGGCGTTCCAGTGGCCGGCGTCGCTGCGCACCAGGCCGTGGGCGCTGCCCGAGGCCCCGAGCCGCGCCTGGCTGGTCCCGCTGCTGGACTGCCAGCTGGAGGTGGGCGGCAGCGCCTGGCCTTGCGCCAGGAAGCGGTTCACTTCCTCCTCGCCGGCAAACTCAGCCAGGATGGTAGTGTTTCCCAGCACACACCTGGAGAGAGAACAGCACAACTGAGACCTGGTGTTCTGCAAAGATAAACAAAACCTACAAACCTTTCAAAAGCGCAAAGACTCAAATAAATACAACCAGACATGAAAGAGGAGACATTACAGCTGACACTCAGAAATGTACGGGATCTGAGAGACGACCGTGAACACTGTATGCCAACTAACTGATAACTAGAAGAAATGGATACATCTGAGAAACACACGGCCTACCGGGACTAAATCGTGAGGAAACAGGCCCCTAAGCAGACCAGTAACAAGCACTGGTGCTGAGGAGCCCAGGACCAGAGCGTTCCACCGGTGAATTCAGAGAATTAATGCCCATCCCTTTCAGCTCTTCCCAAACTGAAGAGGAGGTGATGTTCCCAAACTCACTTATGAGGCCAGCATTGTCCTGATGCCAAAGGCAGACTGACCCGGTTACTGGACATACACACGGAAAGCCTCCCAGTGTCAGCACACCACCTCCAGCAGCACCTGAGAGAGTCAAACCCCATGGCCCGGTGCGACTCACCCCTGGGACGCAAGGATGGTGCAACAGCTGCCAGTCAACAGATGGTCAGACACCTCACAACAGAGTGAAAGGTCAAGGTCAGACTAAGGTCAAGGCTAAGTCTCTAAGACGATTTAGAAACAGCATTTGACAAAACACACCCTTCTTTCATGATGAGCGTCCTCAACAAATAGGGTACAGACGGACATAACAAAGGCCACAGGACACTCAACCAGGAGAGGTTAAATTGTCCTCTAAGATCAGGAACAGACAGGGTGCCCACTCTTACCACTTCTATTCAACACAGTCCGGAGTCTTAGAGCATTCAGGCAAGAGAAAGAAAGAAAAGGCATCCAAGTTGGAAAGGATGAAGAAAGACTATCATTGTTTGCAGATGACATGACCTTATACATAGAAAATCCTAAAGACTCAACCAAAAGTCTGCTGGAACTAACCAATGAATTTATTAAAGTTGTAGGATATAAAAACAACAAACAGAAAACAGTTTCATTTCTATATCCTAACAATGAAATTCTGATAAATAAAAATAAACAAACGAACAAATAAACAAAAACTCACTCCATTTACAATAGCTAAAAATAATAAAAACATTTAGGAATAAATTTAACCAAGGAAATAATATATCTGTACAATGAAAACTACAAGACTTGCCGAAGCAGGTTTGGCTCAGTGGTAGAGCGTCGATCTGTGGACTGAAAGGTCCCAGGTTCGATTCCGGTTGGGGCCATGTGCCTTGGTTGCAGGCACATCTCCGGTGGGAGGTGTGCAGGAGGCAGCTGGCCGATGTTTCTCTCTCATCGATGTTTCTAACTCTCTATCCCTCTTCCTTCCTCTCTGTTAAAAATCAATAAAATATATTTTAAAAAAAAGAAAAGAAAAAGAAAACTACAAGACTTAGATGAATAAAATCGAAGAAGATACAAATGGGAAGATATCCCACGTTCATGGATCAGAAGAATTAAAATAGTTAAAATGTCTATACAATCGAAAGCCATCTATGGATTCAATGAGACCCCCGTCAAAATACCAATGGCATTCTGCACAGAGATGGTAAAAACGATCCTAAATTTGTATGGAACTACAAAAGACGCTGACAGCCAAAACAACACCGATAAAGAAAAACCAATCTGGAGGCATCACATCTCCTGATTCAAACTACACTCCCAAACTCTAGTAACCAAAACAGTATGCTGCTGTCATAGCAACGGACAGACCAATGCAACAGAATACAAGCCCAGAAACAGACCCCATGTATACAGTCAACTGACATTTGACAAGGGTACCAAGGAGTCTCTTCAGGAAGTGGTGCTGAGAAAACTGGATAACCACATGCAGGAAAATGAAACTGGACCTTTAATTCAGATCACCCATAAAATTAACTGAGTGAAAGGCTTAAAAATAAGACCTGAAGCCAAAAACTCCTCCAAAAAAACACCTTGACATTGATCTTGGCAATGAGTTTTTTTTGATGTGACAACCAAAACACTAGCAACAAAGGCAAAAATCAACAGTTGGACGAGTAAACCTAAGAGCTTCTCACAGCGAAGGAAGCCAGCAGGACCGGGAGAAGACAGCCCTGGAGCGAGGAGAACTTGCTAGCCAGCTGGTGAGGGAGCTCCCGGGCTGCACATCCTCCTGGGGCCTTTTCCCCGGGGAGGGCACGGCCCAACAGCTCAGAGCAGGGGACACGGACACGGCACAAGACACCTGTTCAGGGCGAATTGTCTCCTCCACGCATCTGCCCTAGACCTGGCCCCAACCCCGGGCGGGGGATGTCCCTGTGCTGGGGAAGGGTCCCTGGAGGACAGCTGAGGTGGAAAGAGGCATCAGGGTGGCCCTAGCCCGCTGGGGCTGTGTCTTCCTCAGAGGAGGTGGTTCGGACACAGGCACCTCAGACACCCTGTGAGGACAGGCAGAGCGGCCTGGGAGGGGACAGCCCTGCCGATGCCTTGACCCAATGACTTCCGGCCTCCAGAACCACGAGACCGCCAGCGCCTGTGCCTGCGCGCGGACGGGCGGCGCGGGCGGGCGGGACGTACATGTGCAGGGACTTCTGGGCCTTGGCGGCCTCCTCCTTGGAGCTGTACCGGACCACGGCGTTGCCTTGGGTCAGGTTCAGGTGGAATGTGATGAGCGGCCCATGCTGCAGGCACAGCGTCCGGAGGGTGGAGCCGTCGATCTGAGGGGGAAGCAGCGGGACGGTAACGCGCTCTGGGGCTCTCCCACCACTTTCCCGAGGAAGCGTGCGTGCAGTCCGGCGCACTGAGTGCCGGGAACATGGCTCTCTGGTGTGCCCTCTGCTGCTCCGGGCCTTCTGGTTGTTGGATGGCAACACCAGGAGCAAGCAGAGCGCACCCCACAGGCCCGCGGCTCCCAGAAGCCTGTGGCCCGAGACTGGGAGGGGCACAGGCCACCACCCTCGTGGGGGGACAGTGACCAGTGAAGGCGAGCTTACAGACTTAGAGTGAACACTTCCAGGACCACGGCTCTCAGACTCCTGGCCTGTCCAGCCCTTGCTGCCCACGTCCCCCCGGGCCCTGAGGGAGGGCGCCCAGCGCCAAGACTGTGCCACGGGTCACCGAGCCCCCACTGTACCTGGGGCGTGAGGTTGCGAAGAACGAGCCAGCTGCTGGTCCTGCCTGAGGTGTCGGTGCTCCAAGCAGAGCCTGCACAGACCGGAGAACTGTCAGCCCCGCGTGCGGTGGCCCCTCCGCGCCGACCGCTTCTCGCCCCGAGGACGGAGCACGAGTGCCGCTGCCAACACCACCCACGGCGCAGGCCCACGGCGCTCCGGCACCTGCCGCTCACCGGGCGGCACAGGCTGCCCGGGAGGGCAGACAGCCTGCCTCACGCCCGGCCCGCCCGCGCCCTCCTTTCCCGCTCTCCTGCCGGCCGGCGGAGAGGGCGCCTGCGGGAGCCACGGCGCTGTGGCTCGGAGGGCCTCACACGGGCCTGTGTGGCCGGAAAGCGGGGACGCCAGGGCAGTGATGGAGGGGCAGCACGTGTCAGGGTGGAACTGAGACCCTGTGCTGGTTGACAGGCATGTCCGGGCCCTGTGTGGCCCTGTGTGCGTGACCCCAGGGCCATGCTGACAACACTGGGCCCAGACAATGTCTGCGGTCACGGGCACCTTGACCCCTGTAAGCCCTCTCAGGTCCGAGCGGGGAGGGGTGTCCCCGTCCTCGGAGGAGCTGCAGGCTGTTCCCCGGAGGTGAGCAGAGCAGGCGGGAGCCCCTGGAGCGGGAACCCATGCGTACCCGAGGAGTAGGAGCTGGTCCAGCCGAGGGGGCTGGCCCCCCAGGTGGAGGAAGGCTTGGGATTGGTCAGCCCCGGGGGCGGCCTGGTGGGTGCAGCCGTGTTTCTGGGCACCTTCCACAGCTCGTGGGACAGAGAGGCCTGCGTGTGGGAGGCGGGGCCGGAGGACCACGTCGATTTCATGTCGGACAGTTTACCTGGAAGGACAGCAGGATGCACGTGAGAGAGGTCAGTGCGCGCAGGGACCCGCAAAGGGCTCTGGCGCCGCAGGCTGCGGGAGGAGAGGCGCCGAGGAACACCCACGCCACCCTGCACCGCTCCCGCCACGTCCACTGGACGCGGTGCCTCTGACCAGCGTCTGAGACTTAAGCCGCAGCCAAATGTGCCAAACACAAGCCCGCCGTCGAGAAAGCAGCGTTCTTGTGGCTGATGCTCAGCTAACCCACGGACACTGTCTGCCGGGCTCACACTGCAGACATCTCCCAGGGCTCCCTGTACCGGCCCGCCCAGGGCCCCGCCGAGCCCGCCCTCGTGTCTCACGTGGAACCTGGTGGAGGACACATGCTTTAAGGCTCTGCCCTCCACTGCCCTGAAGTCCACACGGATGTTCCGTCCTCACAGCCCGCCCTCCACCTTCCACTGGAGCCGAGTCCGACAGGCATGCCCGCCCCTGGCATCCGGGCTCCGCAGGAAGAGGCGGGGTGGGGTCAGGCTTTACCTGACATTCTGGGGGAACAGCTAGGCTGGGAGGAAGGAGTAAAGGGGCGGTGGCTCATTTTCATTTAAAAAGATTTCAGGTGGAGATCTCGTCACTGGCCAGCTTAGTGGTGACACTGACTCTATACCAGTGCTCCCAGCACACACAGTGCAGTGCAATGCGATCCAGCCAACACCAGCTCCGGCGCCTGCAGTCTCGCTGGAGCAGACCTGACTGCTCTCCCGCCACCACGCCCCTCAGAGCCCACACCGCCCGGCACAGGCCTCACCGCCGCTCTTGAGGAGGTAGCGGTTGACGTCCTGGATGGTGGTGTTGATGGTCGGCCCGGTGGGGACGCTTCCAGGCGTGACGTCAGGATCATTCTCGGGGTCTATGTTCTGAAGTCCTTTCCACGGAACTCCAGGGTGAAACTCTGGGAAGGTTCAAGCAAAACGAAGATCAAAACATGAGGATTAGGCGCCTCCACATGATGCGGGTATTTGTGGGAGTTTGAATAGTTTGCTGATTAAATCAAAGGGACAGCTTCAGACTTTCAGTAACTTGTCAATCCCCTGAGCAGGCGGGAAGCCTTGTTAGCTGGCTCAGCGGGGAGCTAGCCCCACACTGGCTGCTGGAATTCCGGGCCGCGGCCGCTGCTCCTCTCACCGAACGGAGAGGCCCCCGCCCCACACTCCACACCCCTGCCCCCCACGCTGACGTGGCCCGGGCTTCCAGGCACAGCCGAGGCTGCGGGCCGGTGCAGGCCGGTCTGCCGCTCTCACCGGGGGGCCAGTTGATGCCGGAGCCGTTGGAGGTTTTCTCGCTGTCGGATCTGGCACGTGACCAGCTCTGGGGGACGGCCACTGGAGGGCTGGCGGGCGCCTCGCTGCTCTGGAGCAGACCGCACCGGCCGTAGGAGTCGTCCACGGAGGACTTGGCTGGCGGCCCGATGCTCAGACCTCCAGGGATAGCACCTGCACCCCAAGGAGACAGTGTGAGTGGGCCCCGCCCCGCCGGCCCCGCCCGTGTCCTCCCAGGGTGCAAGCTGCAGGGCGGGACTTCGTCCTGGAGGACAGACTCCAGGATCTGCACCCGTGTCTGGCTGGACAGCCTGATAAAATGCACCCGAACCCCAGAAGCTGGCCTGCAAGCCTCTCCAGGGACCATGTCTGCGTCTGTCCTCGCTCCCTCCAGGTGCTGCCCTCACTGCAGGACAAACCAACTGTGAGCTCAGCCCCACACGCACACACTCGCCGCCTCGCGCGGCCCTGAGCTCCCTTGTGCCCGGGAAAGCGCCCGGAGAACACGTGACGCTCTTCCTGGAGGTCAGCCATCGTACGGCATCTTCCTTTTCTCTGCGGGTGTTTCCACCAAGAGGGCAGCCTGTGCCCTCTCACATCTTTTCTGCCGTTTCTGCTTCCGGGAGACTTAGAGCTAAAGGAAAGCTGACTCGTGTGCCCGCCTGTGGTTATCAGCACGCTTGCCTCTTCCCCCTTCCTCAGCCTGCATTTCCTACTGCTTTCTCACTTCACTGGAAGCAGCGCTGTGGAATAGACGTGACAAGAGCACGCAGGCTGGCACCTCGCGGGGCTGCCCTGGGGTTTCCAGCTCCTTCCAGGGTGGCAGCTAAGATCTGGGGCTGGAGGTGTCAAGGAGTCGGACCCTGACTGCCGGGCGTGTGCGCTCTGCGAGGGCAGCGGGTTTCTATCGCTCTCAGCACCGAGGCCTACCGTGCTTGCCGGGGTTCTGGTCCAGAGGAGAAGCAGCACCGGGAACGTTATCCATCGGGTTGGGGTGTGTCCACTGAGGGAGGCGCGACTGGGACTGAGACGGGTCCTTCACCGCCAGACCGCCCGTCATGTCCATGCTGCTGACGTTCATGGGGGTGTTCAGTCCAGCTGAGGAGGAGAACGCTATGAGAGGCCCACTCCCTCCGGCTCCCAGACCGAGGCCGAGAGGACAGGCCGGCACTAGGATGTGACGCCAGAGCATCCTAGGACTATGATGGACCTGAATCTGTTCTGAAAACAACTCTTCTTAAAGAGGCAGCGCTGCCACCAACAGCCAGCACTTCACCAAGGACTTGCTGTGTGCTGCGTGCTATCCTAGGAACGCTCCCTATCAGCTCATAAAGAACTTTACAGATGGGGAAACTGAGGCAGGCAAAGAGCTGCCAAGGAAGCTGTGCAAGTGAGTGGTGAGCCTGTCGGTAGTGGAGGAGGGACTTCCTGCACAGAGGCCGCCGGCTTTCGTGGTGCCACCTTCAGAGGTTTCACCCGGAAGGATTTACAGAGCGCCGCTCCCTCAGAGACAGGAAGCCGAGGCCGCCGCTCTCAGCTGCCGAACGGTGTGTCCCCGAGACCCCTCCGTGGTGCCCCAGGCCCCGGAGACTCACCGAGAGGGTAAGGAGCAAAGGTGTTGGGCGAAGACTGCTGCTCTTTGGTCTGCAGGTCGGGCAGGCCGGGGGCCTGGGGGTGCGGGGGGAAGCTGTCCACGGCCGGTTTGCCTGCAGAGGGGTGCAGAGACAGGTGCGGCGGGGGCGGCGGGGGCTTCACGAGCAGGGCCTGGGCCAGCTGGCGCTGCTGCTGCTGGATCTGCTGCTGCAGGTTAGTGATTGTACGCGCGACCTGGCGACGGACACGCCCGTTAGGAGGGCGGTGATGTCCGGCACCTGGGTCAGCCTCCTCCCAAATCTACGGGACCCCAAGCTGGGGCAGGGAGCGCTGTGGGAGAAACCCAGCGACAACCGAGCAGCCCGTCCATCAGCACCCCCGGGAGCAGGGGGAGAGCGTAGGGACCCTGAGCCGGCGACACCCACTTGCTGCTCCTGCTGTCTCATGGGTCCGGACATATTCCGCTGGGCCTGTAGCATCTGCTGCTGGATTTGTAAACGTTGGTACGCCTGCAACAGAGGCCAGAGCGGCGTGAGGAGCTGCTGGTGTCCTGTGCACCGGCTACAGAGCAGAGCGGACGGCCAGGCTCCTCCCCTCACTCCTGCTTCTCCCTCTGTCCCTCTATCAGTGAAAACACGTCCCGGCGAGGATGGAAAAAACAACGAAATTAAATCCACCGGGATTCTGAGAGCGAACCAAGTCCTGACTGCTCAGGTCCGACCAAAGCAGCTGTAACCTCCCTGTGCTGCTAGTCTGTGTGTTCCCCCTTAGGAGATGACAGTCACTGCAGTGACCTGGCGTTCTGTGCTGAGCGGGGAGGGTGGAAGCTCAGACCACTGATGCCGGAGGTCAGGGAGGTGCTGTGCCCAGGAAGGGCCTGAGGGGACAACTCGTACATCTCCCGTAAGGAACGCCTTCCTCATTCTCTTTACGGGAGCTGCCTCCGTGACCATCAGCATCCCACTGACTACTTAGTCAGGCCCCCTGTGGCTCCCTGCGCTGTCACCTTCATAAGCACCAGGGGCGCTCCCCTCGCCCCAGCGCAGGGCCGGCGGCTGTCACTCACCAGCTGCAGCTGATAGAGCTGGTTCAACATCGTCATATGCTGAGGGTTAATTGGCGAGGTTAATAGTGCAGGGTTGAGACCAATGTTTTTTGCTGCAAACTGCAAAAGCTGTGCTTGAACCTGTGCAAACACACACCGAGGCGCCGTGTTACTTTCAGAGCATTTCCGTGTCTGTGCGGCTCCCAGATCTAACCCGTCCATTCAATGAAACTGGTCTCCTGAGGGGACTGCCACAGCCGCCGAAACATCCGAGGACCCTTCACATTAGCTAACAGGCTTTTGTGAAGAGCAAGGAAGGAGGAAGGATGGGAGGGAAAAGGAAAAGGGAAAAAGTTCCCCCTTCAAATATTCTGCCATGAACTAGCTTCCTCATTTCTCTCCTAGGAGCGGCTCTAGGTCGCCTGCAGAGGAGTCTTCGGGCCAATGGAGGGAATGCAGACGGCGCAGGGAGGTGAGGGAGGAAGGCGGCTTCCCGCCCCACAGCACCATCCCCCACCCCCCGCCACGGTCTTGTCCCGGGGCGGGCAGCAGCCCCTTCTCAAGTTGGCGTACTTGGGAAGTGGTGCCCCTGCTCACGGGAGCAGACACCCCTAGGTTGGGCACACGTCCCTCAGCCTCCCCTCTGGCACCTGCACCTGTGACTCTACCAGCCTAACCTTGACTGTCAAGGGCGCCTCTCCGCCTTAACTGCCGCCCTGACAGATGGGGGCTGGCACTGGCTGCTGCCATGCTCCCCACGGGGTGCCCTGCCCACACCGAGCACGGGGGCAGGGCGGTTTTAGGCACCATGTGGGTGAGCGGCTTCTACGCCCCTGGCTGCTGCACGTGCACGAGAAGCGTGCGCTTCCCTATTGATGTGGATGTGCCGTCCTCCTGAGGAATAGACCTGCTGAGGGAAGGCGGCCAGCTGACTGGCAGGAGACACTGGGAGCCGGTGTGGGCAACTGTGCGCGGGCGGGGGAGTCTGCTGCCCGCTCCCCCGCCTCCCCCGCCTGCAGGCCGCAGTGGCCGTGCCGGGAGGGTTCCCAGCATGCTGCTGGGCAGGGCCAGGGGCTCTGAGACCCGGGGTGCGGAGGCTGCGCCGGGCTGACCTGAGGGGATAGAAACTGAGGCACTTGCGCACGGAGACTGGGCTGGGAGGGGTTCAGTGGCGGCGGCTGCGGCTGCAGGGTCCTGGCTTGTGCTGCTCCGCTGCTGCCGAACACGCCCAGATTGCCGCTCGGTATCTGCGGGGAGAGGGACGGGTCAGCGCCGCCGCCGCCGCCGCCGCCGCACGGCGAGTGATGACTGCTTCCTTACCACAACGCAGCACTCCCCTCCCTCCTGCGACTGAGCAGGGGCTGTGAGTGCTGTGCCCACAGGGCATGGGTGGGGGGAACCAGCCCAGGGCGCAGGCCCATATTTGCACCCAGAGGCGCCGGGTGCAGGGCCGCGAGCCGAGGCTGTCACCGCAGCAGCAGGTAACAGGCTCTGGGTGAGCTGGCCACACGGAGGAGCGGGGTCACAGCAGAGGACCACCATTCCCACAGGATGGACTGGCTGAAGGGCACCGGCAGCAGCTCCCGGGGACACTGCGCTGAGCCCGGCTGGCTGTGCAGACCCCGAGGGCCAGCAGACAGCGGGAGACGCTGCTGATACTCAGCCCGACCACAGGCAGCAGCAGCTGCTCGGGCCCCTGAATGTCCCAGCAACCCCCGAGAGCCGTCTCCATAGCGTGAGTGCGGCACCCATGAGGAGGACAGGCACGGGGACACCCTCCAGACGGGACAGGGCGCAGGTCCTCCCTCCAGTGACGGTGACAGCGATCGCCTCCCGGGCTGACCCTCCGGCTCGGAGACAAGGGGGGTGGTAACAGGACAGCTGGCTAAGCCCGGGCGCCCAGGTCGCAGCGGAGGCTGCTCGGCTACGTGCTCCTCTGAGAGAGCAGCCAGCGAGCCCCGAGGGCTGAGCCCCCGGAAAAGCACCCACACGGCCGCCCCGAGGCCTGGATCCCTGAAGGGACTCCTAAGGGCGCCGCCTGCTCACGCCTGAGAACGGCGCTAATAAAAGAACACAGAGCCCCAGGCGCCCCAGGCAGGGGACCAGCGCAGCCCCGCCGCCTTACCTGTCGAGAAGAATTCAAGTTTTGCATGCCCAGCCCTGAGGCGATGCCACCCAGGGCCTGACTGGGGAGTGCAGTGTTTGAAAGGGGGGGCTTCAGGCTTGGCGAAGGCAAAAATGGTGAAGCCGTGGGCTCTTCCACGAGGCTGCCGTCCTGATGGGAGAGAGAAAGGGTGAGCTGTGCGGCCCGGCACACACGGGCGTACGATGCAGAGAAAATGGGAGAGGAGAGGGGGCAGGGTGGAGAGCAGGGCAGGAGGAGGGAAGAGAAGAGAGAACGGGGTTAAGGTGCCGTTGTCACGTAGACAGTTGTTTACAAGCACACACATCACAGCATCACTCCCCCGAGCCTGCGGGGAGCCGGGAGCAGCGGAGACTGACTGGGAAACACCGCAGCCATTTCCCCCAGCAGCTCCCTTCAGAGGCTGCGGCCGGTGGGCGGGCGTACTGCTCACCGCCGTTTTAGGCTGACCGCACAGCAGCCTCGGCGGTTCAACCTAGTGAGCGGCGAGTCAGACCACAGAGCCCTGCGGACGTAGTTCATGAGGTGATGCTGTGTGTCAGACCTGCACAAGCTAACCATCTGACTTCCCAGCAGGCCTGAGCGTCACTCCACAACTGAAAGGTGAGGAAGCCGCCAGGCTCCCATTAGCCAGTGAGACACAGAACGCAGAGCTAACTTGGGATGCCAGACAGAGAACACGTGATGTTCGGACAGTACGCTCCCAGAGCTCTGTCTGAAATCCCAGCGCCACTGGGACTGTGGAGCGAGCCCGGCCACCCCAGCTCTCCCCGGGGCACCTGCGAACAGAGGGCCCCTCCTTCCCTCCTAAGTGTCCTTTCTGGCTCCCAGCTCCTCTCCCAGCCTCCCACTGGCCTGAACCAGAGGGGAGCTTTGTGGTTACACCTCGGAGCCAGGACGTGGCTCCCGGAAGGACTGACAGTGACTGCACGTGTTCCACGCCCGGGGACGCCGCACACACCGGCACGCCCTGACCCAGCGAGGGCCGGTGGCCTGGGCCCGCCCCCTCGGCCCTTCCTCAGACCCACACACTGCACCTCCCCTGGGAAGCAGTGTGCACGGCCACCAGGTTGGATGGCCCCTGGCTGCTGGACAAATGGAGGCAGGGAAGCCAGCAAGTTCACCCCCTACATGGAATGGGTTTTCAAAATCAGTGTTTTTTATCCCTCGTCACATCACAGAATACGCAACGCTCCCTCTCTTGGGGTGAACATTTACATACACCAGAGACAGTGGGAAAAGTCCCTTACATGTCACTGTCCAGCCAGCTTCTAACCTGGTTCCCCATAAGGCACAGGTAAGATGGAATGCCTCACAGACAGACGAAGCCACTACCTCATACCTTGTCGAGAAAGGCGGGGCGGTCCACGGAAGACTCTTTGGAGATCGGTGGGCGGCAGCCAAGGGGCTTGGTGACCATCCCATTGTAGTCGGTCACCCCCAGTCCACGCTTGTCCATGTCCACCTTCTTTTCCAGCAGAGCACCTGTGGCAGACATGGCATTACCGAGGCCCTGCCCGGCTGTCCTGACCCGAGCATGGGGCCCTCGGCCTGTACAGGGAGGCCCTGCTCCTGGCCCTCACTCCGGCTGCCCGCTCCCGGCCTCGCTCTGATGGCCTGTTCCCCTCGCTCTGCCTGCCCGCTCCCAGCCCTCGCTCTGATGGCCTCACCCGCTCCGTCTGGCCACAGCCCCTCGGGGCTCAGCGGTCCTCTCCCTGGAGACCATCCCTCCTTTGGTGGCCATTCTCAGAGGGCCTTCCCTTTCCCACCACAGCTGACTGGCTGGGCCCCTCCTTGTTGCCAGGACTCTCCTAGCTGTTGGGGACGCCACACCCCACAGTCCACTGAGCCCACCGCCTCTCTGTGGGGCACATCGCACACCTCCCCTCTGCCTGGCCCGCCCGCCCAACACATAGCCCCCTCCCCCACACCTACACGAGTGCTCTGGACATCAACACCCACACCCAGCCTTCAAACCGCCTGCCAGGGTGTGACTTACTCATGGCCTGGTCGAGGTTCATGTTGTTACTCTTCAAGGCCTCTTCAGCTGGCTCTCTCTGCGGGGAGACGGCGGGCATTAGGCCTGGTGTTGGCAGAGGAAATGCTGACGGAGCTCCAGAGCCGGCTCTGGGCGGGACAGGGCTAACCTAGCGTTACCAGTGGGCACGGGGCGCACCTCCCTTCCTTGTCGGTTGGTGAAATGTGTCACAAATCAGACACCTGCCTGGGGAGGTGCCCTCAGAAGGGACTTGCGGGAGCACAGAGCGTGAGAACACGGAGCAGCTCACAGCTCAGGGTGGGACGTGCAGTGATGGGGAGGGAAGCGCCGTCTCCCTGAGGCTGTGGAGACCCTGGCGGAGGGGCAGCCTGGCTAGCTGAGCTCCCGCTGTGCCAGCTGAGGCACCAGCAGACAGGACAGTGACCAGAGAACAGCCTGCGGCTGGGAGCTCCCTCCCCTTCATGGGAACGAGCAGGTGGTTAGGGCTGTGTCTGCAGCCCCCTTTATATGAAGTCTTCTTGGGAGCTCTGCCAGTCTATTGCGTACACTAATAAAGACTCCCTTTTAATTGTAAATGAAAATGTAAGGCTGTGTAAACCACAGGACTGTAACTCCAGGGAAGGGCGCTCACACCCTTCTTCCCAGGACTGGCTCTTCGCCGTGGCTCAGAGGGGCGCTCCCCACACAGGGCCCAGGTGAGGGCCTGCGAGGCGGTCATGACACCATCTCCTCCCATCCTGGCTACACGACAAGCGAGGGCCGGACAGAGGCCATGCAGGGGGACCGGGGGGGGCGGGGGTGCAGTCACCGGGAAGCCCATGTCGGTGAGTTGCTTGATGAGCCGGGTCAGGATCCAGGCCTCGTCCTGCTTGCCGGATGCTTTCGTGCCCTGGAAGGAAGCGAGGGCAAGGGGAGCCGTGAGCCCTGCACTCGGGGATCTAACGCCACGGGACCCGTGTTCACGCTGAGCGGTGGGCGCACGAGGGGGGAGGAGTGCAGGCATGGACTCAGAGAGTCCATCTCTTCCCGAGGCACTCAGTGCAGCACATCCGGTCACTGCCACCACCGAGGACCCAGCACCGACCCTGCAGTCACT